CACAGGCAAACATGCACTGCTAACATCTGTTAGCTACTCTGTGTTACAGTTACCACACCCAAAATATGTATTTGGCCTCTGTGGTGATCCAGGTTCACTCATGAATGACTTATACACATGGTGCATGAAAACATCCCACGCAGAAGCTTAGACATTAAAAAGCATGAGTGACAAAAGCATAAATAGTTACATTTCTTTCTTTCTAGCATAATTTTTAAAAAAAGAAGAAAAAGATGTGTTCATTTTGCATTTTAAGTAGACAGAATCAGGTATATATATATATATAAAAGAACATCCAAAAAAGTGCTGCCTTATACAAGTTATACAGTTCAGTCTTAATGGTGAAAGTGGGACTCTCAACCACATCACAATACAATTGAATCTCTCAACAATGCAACTACTCAAGATGGCGGCGCGCATAGGTGCAGCGGCTCACGGCTCTCCTTTTCAGTGCTTTTTTTCGTTGTTACGGTATTTCTTTCTTGCTTGTTTGTGCATTATCGGTTCTACGAACATCCACTACACCCGCCAGATCCTTTTGGAAATCGGAGACCAGCATCAGACATCTGCTACGAGTGTCTTTCATCACACGCGCAACATCCCAGACGACATAGCGAGACCACCGGGCTCTCCATGAATTGTCTTCGGGTCTTGGACGCAGCGCAGACGGAGGAGGGAGAGGAAGCAGAAGCGGGGCTGCAGGTCCGGTGGTATGCTAAGGCTAAGGAAACGACCACACAAGCCACCTCTGCCGAGCCTGTATCTCTCCAATGCCAGATCCTTGGTGCATAAAACGGACGACTTGGAACTACAACTTGCTGGAAATCGGTATGTTCGGGACTGCTGTGTTTTAATTATCACCGAAACCTGGCTCCAACCGGACATACCCGACGCTAGCATGCAGGTAGCGGGCCGCACTTTGCTGCGCTGGGACAGGGCTAAGGACTCCGGTAAGAGCAGAGGAGGGGGGCTCTGTATCTACGTGCATAACAACTGCTGCAACAACGGGACTGTGATAGACACACACTGTTCCCCCGACCTCGAGTACATGTCTGTGAGATGTCGACCTTTTTTTCTACCAAGAGAGCTAACAGTAGTGATCGTCACGGCCGTGTATATTCCACCCCAAGCCAATGTATACATGGCGCTCTCCCTCCTGCTGAACACCATCAACGCACATCAGCGGGCCCACCCGGATGGAGTCCACATTATTGCAGGAGACTTCAATAAGGCCAACTTGAAGACTGTACTCCCGAAATTTTATCAACATGTAAAGTGTTCTACTAGGGGAGAGAACACTTTGGATCATGTTTATTCCAACATTAAGCACGCATACCGAGCCATGCCCCTCCCCCACCTCGGCCAGTCAGACCACCTTTCCCTCCTGCTCTCCCCAGCCTACACCCCCCTCAGACGCAGTGCCAGGCCCACCACAAAGACTGTTACAACCTGGCCTGATAACGCACTCTCCAAACTACAGGACTGCTTCACTGAGACAGACTGGGCCCTATTTGAACACCAGGAGCTGGAAACGTTCACAGGAACAGTACTGGACTACATCAAGTTCTGTATAAGTAATGTGACTGTGGACAAAAACATTCTGGTTTTTCCAAACCAGAAACCCTGGGTGACCAGCCAGGTCCGCACACTCCTCAGAGCCCGAGATGCTGCCTTCAGGTCAGGGGACAGAGCCCTTTATAGGACAGCTCGAGCGGATCTGAAAAGAGGAGTGAGAAAAGCCAAGGCGGAACATAAGAGGAGGATAGAGTCCCATCTGTCCAGCAACAACACACGGGCGGTGTGGCAGGGCATACACGACATCACAAACTACAGAGGCTGTGCTACAACAACAGGAGACCTGAGTGTGCCGCTGGCAGAGGAGCTGAACTGCTTCTTTGCTCGCTT